ACGAGTTCACTGCCGAAGAGCCAAAAAATACTGAGCGCCTGAAAGAGGAACAGACATTGGGAACACGAGAGAGTTGAGAATGCAGAGAGGCGGGCATACATGCTTCCACCAAACAAATCATTAACATGGTGGGTCTTGGGATGGGCATTTTCTGATATCACCACACCTTGTGCTCGCTCCGAGTGTGTCCGACTCAGAAGATTAATATGAATATATCAATAGGACCATTAATACCACATAATAGGACCATTTTGCACAACAAAGATATCATTCTAGTCAGCGTTGAATGTGCCTTCAAGCCGTTATCGTGGACGGTCTCAGAGACCTCTTCCCACCAGAGCCAGAAGTCCGCTGGGGAAGACTACCTTTCAGGATCCAAGACCCACCTTGTCCTAAGGTCGATGGTGTAGATAGCTTCGTTAAACCTCGTACAGTGAGCCGAAAGGGGTGGGTGGAGCGGGGAGGGGGGAGTGAAGCAGTATTATTGAAATAGCACAGCAAAAATGCTCATATTTCGTTGGAAGCCAGACTAGAGAGTGACTGAACACCTTCAACAACGACATTTGCTTTTTTCAGACTCTTGCAGCCGGTCTTTTGCTTATCACCATATCTGCCATGGTGCCAGCGTATACGGTTCTTCTCGCTCTGGTTGCAACAGCTGCCACATGTGGTGGAATCATCCTATACGCTTCTCAGACCACCTTTGATGTCACAAGGTGTTGAAGACATGCATTTTCTACTCAAGTTCCTCAACTTATCGTTCTTAAACGACTATCAGACCAAGCACAAGCACTTGTCCGTGAATGTAACGAGTCGCCGGAACAGGCCTATCGCATGCCGATGGAAGGAACTGATAACCGCGGTTTTCTTGTATGACAGAGTGAACAGAGTCAAACTAGCGTGTTAAGAAGGTTGAGATGGGAAAAAGAAGCGCAATGGCAATGAGATATAAAGGGTAAAAGGTAAAGCAGAAACCCTCTTGGAATGCACCACGCATTCTACAGGGTCTTCCATAATTATTGCAAAATTTTGCCCCGTCGTTTTTTAGAGGTTGCTTGTTTCTCTTGAACGACTGACATATCACTACATCTCTCATATTTCCCTGAATAAGGGTGTCAAATTTCATGGCTCGTGGTTACATTTCGAATTCAAGGTGCATCCGAATCCAAATACAACTGCTGCTCCTCCCCTGAGTGAGGCAAGACCTTTTCAGACAAACATCGCTCATCTCTTGAATTTGGATCGGTCTACAGTCTGCAGCTCATGAAAGAAAAGAGCACTGGGCAGTCGTGTTCACTGTATCGTCCCCAACTTCGGCTCCTTTAGATACCACGATAACGGTGAAGAAACGAGTCGACCACAATTTTGTAGCAGCGTTAGAAAGGTGGCCAGAGAACTCCTAGCACGACCATATGGGGAATGGCCCAGCATGAACTACACATGTATACCTACAAGATGCCAGAATATATGGCTGAGTTTGAGCACAGAAGCTGGCAGATAGATAAAGACGTGAAGTGTCCAAGACAGGGCCGCGGGAAGCGGTCACGTGAGGACCGTATTGTCGGGTGAGAGAATTTTGCTGTGCGAGGAAGCTACACCCTATCAAACTTCAGGGTAGCTCCTTCATTTCCTGCGGAAGCCGACGAAACATGGCTCTCCATAGGCTTAAAAAAAACAGTGGAATTCTGTGAAGAACTGTGTGAAGTTGGCCGTAATATGATAGAGAGACACAGCGCTGCTGGGAGAGAGAGGACAAGAGATAGCACGTCGTACCACGACTAGGCGCAGACGTGTTGCGATTGATATAGATGGCAGCACGTCAGCAATACAGCATGGCTTAGGCTAGATGCTGCTACAATTCTCCATTGCGAGTTTGCCTGAGTTGTTTATATTATACCAGATTAGTCCCCCGTCAACCGCCGGGACCTTCCTTTCCTGCGCAAGCTTTCTATCCTCCGCTATGGTCCCTTCCTCCTGTGACACCAACACCTCGTGGAAGTGACGCGTATGCAACACAATGGTGTTTCATACAGTAGAAGGGACACAATCATGATATGACGGTAGATTTTTCGCTTCCCTTCCTCATCCTCCCTTCCTCTCTCCACTGCCCTCCAGCTGCCACTGCAGCACCATGTGGAATGAACGGAAGTGTGCTAAGCAGGTGTTTATATAGCCCTGAGAGTGTTATCACAACTATCCTGCTACAAAACATTGATATCTCAAATCCTGTAAGCTACCCGATTTGTTAGCGGTTTGTTTATCCCATGAGCTTCCTTCTCACTCACTTCATTTTGCGGACGGACACACATACATACATACACACACATACAGATACACAAACCGACACACAAAGTTAGCGCTTTATAAAATAGAAGGATAATCGCGTGAGCTCTACGAAGGAGCTGAAGCTTAGTGGTTAGGGAAGACTTACTGTTTTAGTATACGAGCAAGTTTTGCTTTCGCTTCATTTCCCCAGCATTCAGGAACCAAGCTCTCTTTTCGTAGGCTAAGGTAGAAGTGTTCATTCCTGGTACTAAAACCTCCTCAGAATGGGACTGAAATCATGCATGTAGCTTCTTCCACTTCTTCTTCGTTGATTTATGATATTACGATTTTTAGCAAAATCTTTATCATATACGCTGTAAGCCTGGCGGTATTCATATTCGGAATAGGAATAGCAATTGCAAGCCTTTTCGTTCATATCAAAGTTAGTTTTTTTTTTCCGATTGTCTTAATTTTTCGGCGCAAGTCTATACGTTGCGGTATGGATTAGACTCCAAGATGAGTTGTAGTGATAAAAAGGGACACAGCTGGATAGAGTCGCTCATTGTCGCAAACTATCGGCAAAGAGAGGTCATTTTTCGGGTTTTCGGGCCGTGAACATTGTCTTCTTCTATATATCTTGCTCCACTGACACCTCTACATTTTCAATGAGTAAGTTTTCATCCTAAATTCTGCCTCGAAAGGAGGATACTGCGATAAGGTAGGAGGTGGAAGTAGAAGAAGATATACACTCGTCGAAAGCAAGCGTGTTCCTTAACACATTCACGCCGATGGCGCCCATATTAGAAGCTTGCAGCGATAATTGCTTGCCAGGCGCTAGCGAATGGTATAGATAGGTGGGTGAAATCTCGTAATCGAGTGACAAATGCTTTTAAAATCCTTCACGGGAAGAAGTGAATAATAGCTCTCTTTTCGTAACCACTATTCGTCCGTTCTGATCGAAATACTACTTATGTATACAGGGGTGGCCAAAAAAAAGAGACACTTCACTCAATTCAAAACGGAATTATTTACGCGTTGCGAAACCAAACCAAATGACCCCAACTGAATATTAAAGAGCACGTTATAATCTATCAACAAGCTACACAACAGCCTTCTACACCGACGACATCAGAAGATTTTCCCACGGAAGCATTGTGCACGGTACGAGCTCAACGAGGTCGTCGAGATACCATAGACGATTACGACGTCTCTGAAGCGCTGGTCAAAAGCAGCTTTGCTGGTCAAAAGCAGCTTTTGTAGTCACAGCTAATGTCTCTGGGAAGCTATTCAACAGTTAATCCATTGAAGAAATTATGTAGCAGCTTCAGGTCGGAGCGATTACGGTAAGCCTCGTTGAGCTCGACGGTGACGGCAGATGACGTCATATTCTGAAGACGGCGGGGGCAGTGAAGGAGGGCCTGCTTCTGTTTACGGGGGAACACCTAAGGAATATTTCGCCGTAAAACTTTCATTAACATCGGCTCCCTGTGCGACGAAAAGTTCGATGATGTGCGCCATGGGCTAAGTGTCTCTTTTTTTGGCCACCCCTGTATATTTAGACCGTTGCTCCTCCCGCTATCGCGCGCATCAAAGGGTAGGGAGGAACCACGGAATACCACCTCACTATTGAATGTGTTATACCCTTATACCCTTCTCTCCAGCGCATAGCAGCACCATGTTCCCCCTCTCTTTGCCCTCTCCCCTCTCCCCCTCCTCTCTACTCCCTCCTCTTCTGGTTCCCCCTCCCCTCTGCTGCCCGCGGCTCCGGCTACCACGGCAGCACCATATAAATGAGGTTGTGTGCTCGTTCGGTGTTTTTGTAGCCATTGTGGGTGTTATCACAATCACCACATCAGGTTAGAATAATACGTCAACATGAATATAGACCTTACTCTTGAAAACGGTCGTTCTCACTCAGTCTCTCCTCCCCCACCTCCCCCTCCTTATATCCTCCTCTCGGTCGGCGCATGACAGCGCCATGTTCTCCCTCCATTTCTTTTCTGCCCCTTCCCTCCCTCTTTCTCTCTCCCTCTCTCCCTAAAAAAAAAAAAAAAACCCTACAACCCCACCCCCCCCTCATCCGGCTGCCACGGCAGCACCATGTAGAATGAGACTGAGTGTGCTCGATCGGTGTTTATATAGTCGCTATGGGTGTTATCATGATCATGACATCAACATCTCCAAGTGTTGTCCTTCGTACTCCCTGGTTTAGTGAGCGGTTGGTCCGGACGGACAGAACGACACACGCACACACGCACACACACACACCGACACACCGACACACCAAACTTCTGGCTATATATAATGAGTTTGATAATCTTTACACATTGAACATTGCTGAAATCATTTTGTGGCATGTTGTTGTTGTTCATTTACAGTACAAAATCTGAGGTGATGTGGTGAGGCGGCGGCGCCCACAAAATCGCGTCCGTCCCACGCGACCGAAAGTGGAAAAGGGGCGTCGTGAATGTGTGTTAAAGAGTACGGGACGTTGCGCGTTTCGCAGCGAAGACTATGTCACCAGCGGCCCAGCACGGCCACACTCGCGACACGCTCAAATTCTCGGCCTCTGAATAGCTATTTAGCTGAGAGTGTGTTAGTGATGATGAGGGCAGCAGCGATGAGAGTCACATCAATGCGGAAATCAAAAGGCAGAAGAAGGGGTCCATTTCTTGGGTTCTGGGCCATTTTTCTTGTTTTTCCCTGAACCTTTGCACGATCACCTCTAAGTAATGTACACATCGTAGTGGGATGTCCAAAGACGAAAGAGGATAGGGATTTGAGTGAGACGCAGGTACAAGCACGTTTACAACAGTGAGCGTACTCACAATCAAATGGGTGCAATCTAGGCTCTTGGCATCAGTGTACTACGATCCGAAAGTGCCACATCCTTCGCATATTCACTTGAGGGATCGTTCCAACGAATCAATTAACCGTGCTATTGAGTGCTAGGTAATTGCTGGGAAAAATTGCTGTTGAAAGTGCGATTATTCACGCGTAGGTAGTGCATAAGTTGTTTACCTTCTGCGTGTCCTTATTTGCCCACATTTAATGATTAGTTTTTCTGGCTAGTGAGGTCTGGTTGTTGGTTGCCAGTGAGCCGGGTTAGGTCTGTTTGAGGCAGAAAGTCTCCGATTTTACCAAGAAACGCACTTTTCGCTACGTTGCATCCTTTCTGTACCTGCTTTCAGCAATTCTTGTGTGAGGTTGATGTCTTGGAAAGAAGTCAGTCATTGCTGCAATTTCTTTTTTTTCAGTGGCTCGGCGTTATTTTCTCAGCCATAGTCTGTGTGTTATTTATGGTTCATTTAGCCCTCGACACTCAGGTTTATTATTCCTATTTAGTTGGAAAAGGTCGCATTATAGACTTCCACTCAGCCTGGTTTCTTGCAGATGATCCTTGGTGGCCGTAAATATGAAATTTCTCCAGAAGAATACATTTACGCGGCTTTGATATTATTCGTCGACATTTACGAAATATTTGTCAATTTAGTGAATCTCATCAACGCCGCCAGATAACGGCTACTCCGAAATTTCAGTAGTTACTGTAGAGTCCGAAAGAACTAACAATTTCAAGTGTGATCTAAAAGCGTACAAATTCTAAATAAATTTTTATAATCAAGTCAGTGTCTTTTATTTTGTCAGTTTAGCTGCGCACGCTACCGTGCGCACAACACAGAAGGCTTCGGTGAAACTGACCAGCTTGTGGCGTTAGGTCCCACCGTTTAGGAATCCAACAGCAAGTTGCATAAAGAAATGCGTTATCTAATCATTCCAGCTGTCCATATTGCTGAACGGGTGTGCGTCATATGGCGCGATCCCATTGGCATTGGAGCGCAGGCCGTAATTACCACGTCCTGCTGTGGCCGGACAACTCGTCCGCGCAACACATTCTGTTCCGTTCCTCTTGCCTTGGCATCAGGCCAGCGAAGCTATCCGCTCTTTTTTAGATCTTTGGGACTCAGCGAGATTTTTGAGACCCAAATTATCAGATCGATCAATTACTGAAGTCTAGTAGTTGAGTGATACGGACGAGTTGTCCGGCCGCAGCAGGATGGGGCAATTGCGGCCTGTGCGCTCTAATGCCAATGTGATCGCGCCATATGACCGCCTCCCCTGCTGAACCTCACCGAGTGGTATTTGCGGAGGAGTGCGGAGCTAAAGTGGTGTCTGTAAACAACCACCATGCATCGAGTGTCAGGATAATTTAGCGGTCGAATAATATTCGTTACTAATGATGCAATAGAAATACCCAGTACTCATTACCGTATTTCATCAAACATCCACCATACCTTCTCAGAGATTCTGGGAACTGTAGTTGTAGGGAGGTGTCGTGGTTCGGGAGCGGTTGCCCTCCTAACCCTCCAACACGACGCATCGAGGTGGTTCGGGGCCCCCGTGGCCTTTCCCAGGGCACACGTCGTTCTACGGGTCCTTCCCGGGGATCATGCGGTTTCCCGCACGCATGACCTCCGCACCCCGGGGCCTTACAGGGTTCCTAACCCAGGAACGGGGGGTTTACTGGGCCATGCCCCGCGGTAACAACCCCTAACAACACGCAGCACATGATGACCTATTGCGCCTTAACGGGCCCCATAGCCCTGGCGCTCCCCCAAGCTTACCCGTGCTGCTATACTTGTACACAACACTACACATCTTGGACTCATAGTTTATTGGCGATAACGTCCTTCGACGCACTACAACTTAACTTCCTGCCGAGCGTGGAGAAGCCCGGCCAACGCTTGTAGTGTCTGCAGCCAATAGCGGTAACAGCGGTAACAACGGCCTGCAGCCGATAGTGTCCCTCGGGTGTAGCGGGACACTAACTTACCAGCGCTCCGAGCGAACGGGACAGCATGCCCGAACATGCTGACGGGTGCTAGCAGGCACCCCTAGCCGTTCGCCTTCCTCGCGTTGCCCGACGACCGTCTCTCCCGGAGGAGACGAAGAGCGCCGACTGGCAGAGGCGACCCTTTATATAGGCCTCGGCTGGAGGCGTGGCCGGAGGCGGAGCACGCGCCTCTCCCGGTGCGTTGCGCCGCCAACGCGACCAACGGCGCGACAGAGTCCGGGCGCGTGGTGCGCCCACGACCGTCCGCGAACCGCGACGGAAGGTGTTTGAAGTGACGAAAGCAGCGCAAAAAAATGATGTGAAATGAGATCCGTTTTTTT